GCAATAAAATTGACTTTTTATTCTACCAATTAAATCTATCTAAAATTTTACCTGTCACACCGCTTTATTACAACAAATGACAAATACTCTTCAAGGATTAACTTTAGTAAACCCTGTTAATGCCGCAGTAGCAAATAGAGAGTTAAATATTATCAAACCCAGTAACTTTCATGGTCGCGATAATGAAGATCCATTTGAATAGATTACAGCTTTTGAATGAGCTGCTACTGCAAATCAATGGCAAGATAACTGAAAATATCAAATAGCCGCAGGTTATCTAAAGGATGTCACAGCCAAATAGTATGAAGAGGAGTATACAAATATCAATAACTGGAATAACTTGAGAAGTGCCACCAGTTTTGTATCTCGATTCACTTGATAATTTTCTAATGCTACAATGAAAAATAAGTGGATGTCAGAATTGGAAATGCTACAACAATTACCTGGTCAAATAGTTAGTGAGTACGCTCTAAAATTCAAAACTTTAATAAGTAGAGTTGATCCTATAGGAAATTTTGGATAAGACTATAGAGTTAGGAAATTTATGCGAGGATTACAACTACAACTCATGACTATGGTTGTAGGACATAGTCCTAATAATTTAGACACTGTTATCCAAAAAGCTAAGGAGATAGAAACTGGATTCTCTATGGCTCAACCTATTCAACAATAACAAATAATGGCTAGTCAAGTCGAACTTCTTCAATAACAAATAGCCCAACTTTCAGCAAATTTAGCTAAAACTCAAAACCGTCAGTATAAACCTGAACAAAGGTTATATAATGATGGTAATACAAATAATAATAGATATGGTCAAAGACCTCTAATTTGTTTTAACTATAAAGAAGAAGGACATTTCGCATGTGATTGCCAAACTGAAACAACCACTAAAGCTCAACCTCGAATCTTAACTAAGTCTCGCCCAAGAAATATAAACATGATGGAAACTGAAGAAGAAGAAGAAATCTTTGTAGCTCATTTAGAATCTCAAGCCGAAAATAGAAAACGATCATCTCAATCACCATCAAATATTCTACCCCACTTACATAAAGTCCTTACACAACCACATTGGAAACAAGAATACAATATAGTTCAAGATTTAAAAAGACATGACGCTCATGTATTTTTTGGACAACTTCTTAAAAATCCTCAATATCGTAAACAATTGAAAGCAGAAATTGAATGAGTTGAAAAAGATGTCAATATCAATTTAGCACAAACTCATGTCAATGATGATAATAAATATATCATAGCAAGATGCATAATTAGATACAAGATGAACCCAGTCGAAGCAATTTTAGATTCAGGAGCCACTGCTTGTATTATTTCTACCTCTCTTGCAAGTAAATTAAAGTTGAAACCTCATAAGGCTTCTGATATTATAGTTATTACTGCAGATGGACAACGAAAAAGATTTTTAGGAATAATTACCAATACTCCATTAATTATTCAAGGCACTTAATTTACAGTTGACCTTCAACTTATTGAATCAACCTAAGATACTCTATTATTAGGGATTAACTGGTTCAAAACTTTTGACACCAGAATGTTCTTTGATCAAGACAAAATCAGACTAAGAATTAATAATCAATTTGTTGAATCACCTATAAAATGCATAGAAGAACATTGACCTTTCTTTAGAATTTTGTTCACCTCAATAGATGATGAAAATTCAGAAGAATATGAAGATGAACTTTTAAGAGAAACAGATCTTTACAGCATTGAGCCAGAAGATGATATACTATCTGACTATAATTAGGAAACAGATTCCAATTATTCCATTGAATAAATGAGTTAGAATAAATCAAATGCCCCTATGATTCATATGACGACATCTTTAACATTCAAGAATTATATCTAGCTGAAGAAAAAACTTCTTTAAACTCTGAACAAAAATATATTATTTCATTATTACCTAAAGAAGTAATCTCTACTAGTGGCACTGATATTGTATGAACTTCATTTATTAGTCATCAAATACCTTTGCAACCAAACACTAAACTAATCGCTCAACACCCATATCGATTAAATGCTATTAAGAAAGAGTTTCTTGAAAAAGAAATTGAGAAGATGTTAGAAAAAGGTATTATACAACCCTCAGAAAGCCCATGGGCCTCTCCTGTCATTATTGTTCTAAAGAAAACTGAAGATTTGAAAATTTGTATTGACTATCATTCTCTAAATAATGTAACTATTACAGACAGTTATCCTATTCCCCATGTATAAGATCAATTAGAAAGTTTTCGAACCGCTAAATATTTCACAGCCCTAGATCTTGTTAGTGGATATTGGCAAGTTGAAATGGATCCAAAAGATAGACAGAAAACTGTATTCATTACCCCTTCTGGATTATATGAATTTATAGTAATGCCCTTCGGTTTAAAAAATGTACCAGTCACTTTTCAACGTCTAATGAATAAAGTACTACATCAACTCATTGGAAACTTTTGTGCAGTATACTTGAATGATATCATAATCTATTCTACTACATTTCAGGATCATTGCAAATATTTACAGCTAGTAATAGAAAGATTAAGAAAAGCAAATCTCAAAATTAAATTAGAAAAATATTCTTTTGCTCTGCATAAATTAGAATATTTAGGACATATCGTAGGAAGCAATGGTATTAAACCAGATTCTAAAAAATTGCAAACTATGAAAAATTTACCTATGCCTAGAACACCAAAGGAAGTTAGAATAGCTTTAGGATTATTCTCTTATTACAGACGTTTTATTCAAAACTTTGCAAAAATTACAGGACCTTTGCATGATTTAACCAAAAAGAACAAGGAATGGAATTGGACTAATCAACATCAAGATTCATTTAACACTTTAAAACAAAAATTAATGGAAGCCCCTGTTCTAACCCAACTTGACCTTAGAAAAGTTTTTATACTACAAACAGATGCTTTTGATGAAGGATTAGGCACTGTTATTACTCAAAAGAATGATCAAGATGCTGAACATCCAATCGCTTTTGCTAGTAGAAAACTATCTGACCTGGAATTAAAATATACCACTATGGAAAAAGAATGTTTAGCTGTATAATGGGCTATTGAACACTTCAATCATTATTTATGCTATAAGCTCTTCAAAGTAATTACTGATCATTCAACTCTTAGATGGTTATTAACTACTAAACATCTTAAAGGACGCATAGCAAGATGGACCTTATTCTTACAAGGATATGATTTTTCAATTAAACACAGAGCTGGCAATAAACATCAAAATGCTAACGTCTTTCAAGATTAGTACCTGTTAGTAGGATTGAAACTTATGATTCAGATGAAGACACAACTGATAATTCAAAATGGATTCAAGTACATTTCTCAACACTTAATGTATCAGGATGTCAAACTAAATGGTAATGAAACGAATTAGTTAATAATTGTAATTATCAAAGAAATACTTACTTATGTAAAGAAACTGACCACCATTCCCATTGGTATTGCAAAATTTGTTTTCACTATGTGAACCCCTATAGCAACTATATTCCAACTCCAACTAAAAATACCTTATGTAAATATAATAAAGAATATTAAGAATTCTCTGATTACATCAATGAAGAAAATTATTCGCTCTCAGATTCAAATAGAGAAAATATGTATCAATGTTCACACAGTGATGGTGATTCTGAATCAAACTATAGTTCAGAAGAAAATAGATCTCTTATTGATGGAAAAGGATATGATTGGAGATAAGACATGCATAATATTTACTTACAAGCCGCTGAATTTAAATAAGTTATTGTCAAACAAATGAGAAATAATGCTCTAGTTGAAACTAGACAAGATTATTCTGTCAATTGTACTCTCTGTGAAAAGGTCATTACAACTGAATTAGAATATAATTGTATCATTGGATATGGATTAGGACAAATCTATCCTGAAATAAAACCTGAAGTCCTAGTTAACGAAGTATTTGGGAAATATCAGAAGCAGTACAACAGCAGGATAAAGCTCATTGGAAGGCATATTACTTTCAAAACAAAGACGAATAGACACAAGAAGAATTAGACAAACTATTTAATAATTATGAACCCCTTATCATCCCTGTTTTTAGTCAAACTACAACCCCTGACTTAGATTTTTAATTATATTCTATCATATCGCATGTTATTTTTAAAATTATTATTATTTCATATTTTATCTATATTTTATTAAAGAGATAGCACCTAGTTGAATAGCATTTAGCGAGCGAAAGTCTCATATATTATTATTATTATAATTGAGTGAAAGCGTAAGTGTAAGCAGTGTGACTTATAGCCCAATTATTTAACATGAACATACAACAATATCTCGATATTCAACAATATTTAACTCATAACAAATATCTTGATTATATTCAGACTAATAAGGAGAAGAAAAGATTTACAAATATAGCGAAATTCTTTACTATCCAAAATTCAAAGTTATATTATTTCGACAGAAGAAGACCTGGACAATTATTACAAGTTCTTAAACAATATGAATTAGAACCCGTTTTTTATATGATGCACAATAATCCAACAGCTGGACATTTTGGGCGAGAAATAATGTTTAATAAAATTAGGATAAGATACTATTAGCCACAAATGTATGAAGATATCAAGGAATATGTCAAAACTTGTGATTCTTGTCAACGAAGAGGAGGACCAAGTAAAAATAACGAATTACATTCTATACCACCTCATAACCCCTTCTATCAAATAGGAATTGACTTTATTGGCCTTTTACCTATTACCCCTCGAGGAAATCAATATATTATCCTACAAAGAATAAAATTACTTGATAAATTACTCTGTAAATTATCTTCTTGATATGAATAGGATAATCATAGTATTGTACCTTTGAAACTAAAATATCATAAAAATTGCAATACGAATTTAAGAGTTTCTTTAATGATAATCTTTATCATATAAGTCATATCTAACATCTATATATAAAATACTAAATTATGTTACTAAAATATAAATAATAATGTTCAAATTTATTAGCAAATATTTCGTTAAAATACTTTATCTATTTGAAATTTAATAACTTACTACTTAAATCAGAACATGTATCTAAAAGACAATTCAATTCATTAGTTTGTATTTCTAAAATTAAATTGTTATTATAAATATTATAAAATAATTAGATTAGTATAGCATTTTAAATAAATCAGCTTAGCATTATATATTAATAAATCCTTTACCTTCAATTGGGATGTTTTCATTATTTATTTCTGCTTCTTTAGAATTTGAATTCTCATAAGTTAAATTATCTTCAACATCTATTCCATACCCATTTTTTTAAATTCTTCTAATACTTTTTTAATACTTGGTTGATTCTTAGATATGGAATCCCAACATTTTTTATAAAGTTTTTCATAATTATTAGGAGTTTCTTCTATAGCATTTTTCACGATATCCACTAATAATTTTAATACAAAGCTACTCTTGATCACTTTTACTAATTAAGTCTTTAAATGGAGGAACTCCGCTAGAAATTTCCTACATTAATACACCATAACTGTAAATATCTGAAGCTTTCTCATATTGAAAATTTAAATCTTTAAGTTTGTTTGGATCAACATATGGAATTCTGCCAAAAGTTCTGATATGAATAGTAGTATTTTGAGCATTCATATTTTTTGAAATACAAAAATCTGTAATTTTAGCATTATCATCATGAATAACTATATTCTTAGAATGCTAAATTAAAATAAATTTAAATTAATATCTGAAATTGAATTATAGTCAATAAATAAACTAAGATATATTACTTAAAAGATCTCTATGTAAAATATTTTCATGATGTAAATAATTTAAACAATCGGCAATTTGAAATGCCAATTTTTTCTTATTATCCCAAGTTAAATTTTTATAATGCTTTCTAAGACAATTTTTAAGATCACTATCATTAGCATATTGCATTATAAGAAGATAATCTTTATTATCTATAATGATAGATTTTATATTTTAATTTAAGTAAATATTTTGATTTGAAAGATAGAGATCAATTTTAAAATTACCTGGACTAATTTGACTAATGCTGAAACAATGTATAATTTGATTGCTATAATCGAGTTGCAAATGAATTTGTAATTCATGGATAAAAGCATCTAGTATATTATCTTTAATAGATTCTATATTAGTTAATTTTTTATAAATAATATAATTTCCTGTTTTAGTCCAAGTTGCTTTCATAATACATCCAAAACCCCTGTTGTCAATTGGTTTAGGATTTATTAATTGATAAAAAGGTATAAATTTAACTTTTCCACTTTCTAAAGCATTTTTCATCCATTTACTTGCATTATCGTTTTGATTATTATCTTAAAAGTTATCATTTCCTATATCACTTTAAATTAATCAATAAATAACTTTCTTTTTTTTTAAAAAAGATAATAGTATAGACAACTTTACTTACTTTACTTAAAATATAATTAGTTAAATTTATTTTAAATTTAATTATATTGAATTAAATAAAAATTATAAAAATGTAATTATGATAATTTACGATCTATATCATCATTAAATATATTAATTAAATTATAAATTAAATAATTTAGAAATTAAATAATTTACTAACTATATTATTATTGAAAATTAAATTTTATATTTAATTAAATTAATTAAATTATAAATTATATTAATAATTAATATTCTTAAATAAAAATATTAAATGAATTAACAACAGAAATGAATAACTTACATGCTATAATATTATTAAATAATTTTTAAATTTATAATTAATTGAATTATAATTTATAAACTATTAATAAATAAAATACTAAATATAACTTACGTCCTATAATATTATCAAAATAATTTTAAATTTTAAATTTAATTAATTATAAATAATAAATTACTTAATAAAATTAAATAACTTACTATCTATAATTTTAAATTTAAATTTGGTTAAATAATAAATTATAAACTATTTATAAATATATTTATAAATACATCACTCAATAGAAATTAAATAACTTACTATCTATAATTTTAAATTTTAAACTAATTGAATTATAATTATAAACTTATATAAATAAATTAATCAAATAGGAATTAAATAACTTACCATCTATAATTTTAAATTTTAATTTAATTAAATTATAAATTATATATTATATATAAATAAATTACTTAATAAAAATTAAATAATTTACATGCTATAATATTATTAAATAATTTTAAATTTTAAATTTTATTAAATTATAAATTATAAACTAATTATAAATAAAATTATTCAATTTAATTAAAATAACTTACACCCTATAATATGATTAATTAATTTTAAATTTTAAATTCAATTGAAATATAAATTATAAACTATTATAAGTAATTATTTAATAAAAATTAAATAACTTACATGCTATAATATAATTACATAATTTTATATTTTATATTAATTAAATTAAAATTATAATTTATGATAAATAAATTACTTATAGAGTTTAAATAACTTACGTTCTATAATATTATTAAAATAATTTTAGATTTAAATTTAAATTATAAATAAATTACTCAATAAAAATTAAATAACTTACCATCTATAATTTTAAATTTTAAATTTAATTAAATTATAAATTATAAATTATTTATAAATAAATTATTTAATAGAAATAAAATAATTTACCATCTATAATGATAATTATAAATTTAAATATAATTAATTATAATTAATAAATTATTTATAAATAAATTACACAATAATAGAAATTAAATAACTCACCATCTATAATTTTAAATTTTAAATTTTAAATTAAATAAATTATAAATTATAAATTATTAAATGATTTACCATCTATAGTTTTATATTTTAAATTTAATTGAAATATAAATATAAATAAATCATTAAATAAAAATTAAATTACTTACATGCTAAATATTATTAAATAATTTTTAATTTTAAAATTTAATTGAATTATATATTATTATAAATAAATTATTTAATAAAATTTAATAACTTACGCTCTATAATATTATTAATTGAATTATAAATTTATAAATTATTTATAAATAAGTCACTAATAAAAATTAAATAACTTACTGTCTATAATTTTGAATTTTAAATTTAATTGAATTATAAATTATAAACTATTTATAAATAAATTACTTAATTGAATTTAAATAACTTACACCCTATAATATTATTAAATAATTTTAAATTTAATATTGAATTATAAATTATAAACTATTTATAAATAAATTACTCATAGAAATCAAATAACTTACATACTGTAATATAATTACAATATTTTATATTTTATATTTAATTGAATTATAAATAATAAACTATTTATAAATATATTACTCAATAGAAATTAACTAACTTACCATCTATAATTTAAATTTTAAAATTTAATTAAATTATAAATTATAAAAATTCGCTCAATAGAAATTAAATAACTTACCATCTATAATTTTAAATTAAATTTAATTGAATTATAAATAATAAATTATTTATAAATAAATCGCTCATTAGAAATTAAATATTTTACCATCTATAATTTTAAACTTTTATATTTAATTGAATTATAAATAATAAATTATTTATAAATAAATCGCTCAATAGAAATTAAATAATTTATCATCTAAAATTTTAAATTTTATATTAATTAAATATAAATAATTATTTATAAATAAATTATTAAATAGAAATTAAATAACTTACCGTCTATAATTTTAAATTTTAAATTAATTAATTATAAAATATTTTGAAGTTTTAAATTATAAATAAATCGCTCGATAGTAATTATATCTATATTGTTATTGAAAATTTATAAATTATGAAATATACATAATTAAAAACTTGTTTACCTGTATGTGCTAAAGCTTTTTTAATTTTTGAAAATATACAATATCACGAATTATTTTAAAACGAAGATAAACTTTTAAGAATTTATAAAATGGCTTTGGAAATACCTTTTTCTATTATAAATTTCAAATTAAATTTAATAGTTTAATATTATTTGAAAAAAAGGCAAAATTTATAATGCTTTTATTACCGCCCATAATTGTAACCTGAGAAAAAAGAAATTGTAAAAAGGAAAATTTATGTAGATCTCTAACGAAATGCGCATGCATTATTTTATGCATCAGGGTACTTTTATATGCATCATAATGTTGCCTTTTACTGATTATTGCAATATATAGGAATAGATTTAATTCATAATAAAAGTACGTTTAATGAATGTGGTTCATTTTTGTAAAAAATGCAGTTGAGTCTAATTTTACAACCAAAACCTCATTTAACGTTCTAAGTAAACTTGCAGAGTGAGCAAAAATTCACAAATTTATAGAATTTTAAAAAATTTAAGTGAAGTTTATTAAAGTATGATTTAAAAGATTTTCCTTAAAAACAGGCTCTTATCCTAGACTTCAACTATACCAGGCACGTGAAAAGTACTTTAAAAAATTTATTTATGTAGGCCCTTTTAAAAATTTCGCAGAAAATTGCGTGTGCCGATCATTTCCAAAAATGTATCCGGGCAAAACCCGACAGGTATCGAAATCAAGACCCGACGAAACCCTCGAAATCCGTCAAAACCCCGTCATCGAAACTGTCGTAACTCATCGAAACCCATCGAATTAGAAAGGTTTCGATTTCTCCAAACTGGGTTTTGGGTTTTACCCCGCAATTTAAATACTAACAAAAGAACCTGACAACGTTCGTTACTCCCAATTATTGCCTTTATTTCTGATACGTTTTGTGTTTTAATAGCTGCAAGACACTACTTGATAAATCCACTCTTTATATCAGAGAATTCTTAGCAAAAACTACGTTATGTTTGAATTACCGTTAATATTTGGCATGAGTTTGAGATTTGTTTAAGGTAGAAGGGTGTATTTAGGGATGGATCAGTCCTGGTAAGCCCGGTCTATCACCCGTTAATAGGACCGGTCCTTGCGGTCCTCGGTCCATATTTTGAGGACCGGTCCGGACCGGTCTTTTATTATTTATACA